AGCATCTTATTGGTCATTTTGATACGTGATGCGAGTAAAATTTGTGCTCATGGCTAACACATAATTAGGAATGTGGTCTGGTCTCAACAACAGTTAGTCTTAAGACCAGTCTGGACCGGTCTGGACTAACAAGTTCCTAAAACTGTAGACCATAATAAACCAGACTGTTAACATTCCTACACATAACGATAAGGAGTATACATTAATACAGTATATGGTTTTACATTGTGGTTAGGAAAATGGAAACCATATCTCAAACGTTAATAAAATATATGCATTAACGTTAATAATTTAAATAATTCTTTTAGAATATATAGAACCGGGTTTGAAACAAGGAATTAATATCAATTAGCTACCACTGCGTATTTTTATACAGTACACAATTTTGAGTCCATTAAAATTCATAACCGATTAGCATGAAGATGACGAAAAACTTTATTCTGTATATTTACACGTGAGATGTTTTTTTCTACTATATGCAAATAATACTGTTAGTTTTAAAGTATTACAAAGTTCATAAGAGAAATAATTGAGAAAAAATTTTAATCGAATGATTTGAAGAAATTACGTGTTTTAACTCACAGGAGTCCATTGATGTTGAAATAATTTATTAACATCAATTTATATTTATAACACCTGTCGCAATAATCGGTTTGTTTGGAAAGTAAAAGAATAGAGAAATATATACAGAAGCTATTCTAAATTTGTTGAAACTACAAACAAATAATAATTAATTAATAGAATGAAAAGTTTTTTTTTTTTTTTTTTTTTTTGCAAAAATGTAAATATATAGTTATTTAAATCGTAAAATACCGGATTACTATATCAAGGTCATGGGTATCTGTAATAATAATACCCTAGTAATATTTATTCCGGGCTTACCAAGTAACAAAAAACCTGAAAAACTTCATAATCATCTACAGCAAATTTGGTAGCATTAATAATAGTATGTTTATAGCATCGTTTTTTAGCAGAACAATTATCTTTTTCATTAAATTGTCTACGCATGTCTAGGTCGGTTTTTTTCCAAAACATGCGCCGAAGGAAGGATCATCATAGATAGCTTCGTCTCCAGGTTGAATTTTACTCAATTTAGCATCATCGATATTTCCACGATTGCCAAATGAAAATAAAAAACTTTCTTTCGTATATTGCCATCTGTTTGTCTTCAAACTTCGCCATCCGATTGGATTATAACCTCCGATAACTTGATTATCACCACGAATTTTAAGTACCACTAAATTTGGACCTTGGTTATCACATTTTTCATGAAAAATTTGTGGAGTGAATCCGTCACGAGAACCGCGAAGCAATAATTTAAAATCATAACGAAGACGTGAAAAAGGTATATAATAGTTTTTTTTGTACTTGATCAATCCATTCCGGAATCTTTAACGCTTGTTGAGGTGAGATTATATTACTATCGATAGAGATTATTGGACAACGTGGAGGTAATATTGAATTTGGAAGACATTTACTATCGAGAAAAGTTATTATATCATTTTTTAAAGTCAAAGGAAGAATATCTCTAAATGGAAAAATTTTATCGTAGTATTCATGAGAAATTTCTGAAAATCTAATAAGGGGAATGAGATCTTTTAATATTTCTTGTAAATTAAGAAAGTCATCTTTGGACCATCTTGACACATCTGGATCCGAAGGAGATGATTGAGCAATTCCCCAACGAATCAGATGATCCCAAATATCAGTTTCTTCTATCTGTAGATTGTCTTGTTTAAGTATGTGAATCAAAATTGAACTATCAAAGTCTAAAAATTCAGGAGACCTGAACACAACATTTGGATTCCAACAGATTTTTTCCATACAATAAATGCGTAGTTCTTTACATGCATCTCGGTCAAATATGGTGTGTAAAACAAGGGCAAAATGGTCTTGCAACCATTCAGATTTATCATGTATTAAATGATCTTGAATATATGAAGGAAGGTCATTCTCGATCAATAATTCATCAGCAGCCACTAGAATATCAAGTAGCACTGAACCATCATGATGGCTTAGCCGTATATTAGCGGTGTTAAAATATCTGATCAAGTAAGGAAATAACAACGATGATTAATAATTATAATTTACCGTTATGATGACAATGAAAAAAACAACTTACTCTAATATTAAGGAAAAAACCGTAGGAGATATATTTGGTTTTTTTCAAAATAATATTTTCACCCGCCTTTTTTGCCCATGTACTTGACAAAGCCGTACGAAAGTATGGGGATTTCTTTCGTAAAACGTCAGAGTGTGCCAAAAATGTCATCATATCAGGTTCTTCACCAACATGAATCACCACGTCAGCATTAGACAATTTAGTGCTGTTTCCATGATAATCAATTTGGGAATCCATTTTGCGAAATAATGATCTTTATTATAGCGATAGTAGGTCGGGAAGCAGAAAAATCGAAAAGTGGTGTTACGGGTTTTAAGAGGCATATATGTACTTATTTATATATTTTTATTCTGTACATCACAATATTTGAGATTTGTTTTATTTTATTTGTATAACCCGGATTAAAATCATCTGGCAAAATATAAATCTGAGTCATAATAATAGCGACAAATCATTTATACATTATCGCGTGGAAAGGGACGTTGCACGTACATATAAATGTCGCCAAATCAGACCTAGAAATGGATAAGATTTCCAAGTATTAAAAAGCATTATCGTAAAGTAGTACAGTTTTTTTTACCGTTACCGTACGTACCGTACGTACGTACATACGAAAATTATATCAGGTGAGTGCCGTCAAGGAAACCCCACAATCGGGCTTTCAATTATATTTTGTGACAATTCACAAAATACAACTGAAAGCCCAATAATAGTACGCAAAATATAATTGAAAGCCCGATTGTAGGTTTTCCCTTGGCAGCACTCGGATAATAAAATTTAATCAATGTATGTATGGTTAACACGATTTATAAAATTTAATTGTTATAAGTAACCATTTTTCATGGCTACGGTTAGGGCAAGTGTTAGTATTGCCTTTTTTTCGTGTTAGGGTAAGGACAAATTATAGAATGAATACGTAACTTAAATTTGAAGAATTTTTCCTTTTACAAACCATATCTGATATGTGCTATCATAATTCCGCAGGTCCGTTCTAATTTGCATTTCTGTACAGTACCGCTTCACTATGTATTCAAGATTTCTGAGTTTTTATTTGGTGACATGTCGATAATTCATACAGTAATATGTACGTACAGTATACGTGCATATGTGCATAGTAATAATATTTATGCAAGAGTTAATACGTATCAGATTTACACATCAGTAACTGCATATATAAATTGCAGGGATACGTAGTAAAATGAAGCTTATATTAAAGTGGTAAATAACGAATGGATCAAGTTTATTATTTTTTTTTTTTAAAGAGGAAATACCAATTTAAAACATTCAATATGAATATATTACAGCTGTTCTCATAAATTTTGGGACAACTGATAAAAATTGTTTCGGCCGAATTCGATAAGTTTTTGAATTCGGTGTTATTGATATTGGATTTTTTGGCATTACAGTAATGCCGATAACACCGAATTCAGAATTTATGAGAACAGCTGTAATATCGAAACCTGCCGATCAAGTTTTTTATGGCTACACAGTAGTCCATCATAACGGTTATAATGTTTTGTTCAATAATAAAATGCACAATTATGTGCTATTGCCTGATTTTCACACTTTATTAGAAAAATTTATAAAGAATGTTCACATCAAATCATAGAAATTTAAAGAAATATCGATATTATACATCACTTTATATTTCTATTTAGGGGTCGGCTGGAGTTAATTCAATATATGATCTACATGCTGCATAAATTACATTTTTGATATCTATATAACCCACTAACCATAACTGCGTCAAAAAAGGTAACCCTAAACTTCACTCCGCTTTAGCCGACCACTATTTAGGGGAATGAGTTGATCATTAGAAATTCGACAATTATTTGCGTACATCAATGATTGTGGCGGATCATAAAGAAAAATCCATATCAAAATGAAATTATAATATAAAATCTCGAAAAATAAATTTTTTTGGGGTGCATTTTTTAGGGATAGGGGTTAGGG